CTGCGCAGGGGCTCAGCCTTCCCCAGGCAAAGCCCACGTCGCTCCGGCTCCATCCCGGCACCGCCTCGCACCCAGCACCCTGCTCTGGCTGCCGTGCTCCCGTCGGACGGGCTCCGTGGTCCCCGCACGCACCAGCTGCCACTGTCCCTGTGCTGCGAGTGCCCGGCTGCAGCTCCAGCCCTTTGCCAACCCCTTCTCTTCTCCCACATGCTGCCCTGTCCCTCCGTCCCCAGCACAACCCGCTGCGTCCCAGCCCGGCCTCACCTGTGCTCGCTGTCCCTCGGGGTCCCGGCAAGCTGCAAAGACCCACTTGGGTGGGTTTGGCAGCCCCAGGAGATGCTGGACAAGCCCCAGGCCGATTCCCCGGTTGGCCCCAGTCACCAGAACGGAGCAGACGCGAAGCTCTCCCATCTTGCTTCACCTCTCGCTGCTCCAGCTCACATTGTTTGTTCAGCTCCCTAATGCTCTTTTATAACATCTTTCATGGCCACCCTTCCCACTCAGGGCTTGCACAAACATGCTCTCCATGTACAACCTCTACACCTCTTCAAACTCTAGGACAAAGTTCCTGGCTGGGAGCCAGCCTTCGTTACCGAAGGGCAAAAAGATCTTGGGTTTTTCACGCAAATTGGGATGACCTGGGGAAACCCGGCCACATAACCCAGGAGGTACGGGCCAGCCTGACCAGGGCAGTCTGCTGTGGGTGAGGAGGGAGGAGGCAGCACATGGGAGGGACGTGGGATGCCGCAGGGCTTGGGTGAGTGTGGCAGCTTCCCAGCCCCTGCGGGCTCAACAGGCTTTCCACAGTGTACCAGGTTGTGCGTCAGATGTCCACGAGCAGACATTCTCCACCTTGTTCTTCCCTCTTCCAAGCCAATTCCTATTCACTGTTTGTCCCATTGACAACCCAGGTAGTGGAGCAAGCCCAGTGTAGTCTACGGCCAGAAGGAAACGGACCTGCATGGCCTGCACATCACCACACCATCCCTTGGGGTGCACTCTTAGGTTGAGCAGTCCCTCTGCCCAGAGCTTTGGAGGACTCAGGTGCCTGGGGCATTCTCCTGCAAAGGCAAATGCCTTGGTCAAAGCCCCATTCCCCACATTGCCCCTAGGCATGGGGCACTGACAGCTCTGTGCCAGCACCAGTGAAGCCCGGCGGTGCCCAGTACCTCAAGTGAGGCATTACAGATTTGCAGGGCTGGGACTGGTGTGCATGCACGTCATGTTCCACAGGAATCTCTTGTCAACCTCTCACTTTTGAGTGCCGAGTCCCAGAGCCATTGCATGAGCTGCTAGGCAGCAATGGAGACGCCAACGCTGCTGACGTGTCTGTCACCTTCTCCCTGGGATGTCTTGGCAGTAGCATCAACCAGAGTTACTTTCTCCTGGCTGCAGAGCCAAGCGAGCCCTCGTGCTCCCCCTCCCTGCTCCGGGGCACCTTCCCCAAGCCCGGTCAGGGGAACACGGCTAGGTTGAGGATGTCCATTTGGTGGTCCAGCTCTGCCGTTATCAGCCCCACAGCTGCTTCTGACTCCACCCTGCTCTGACTCTCCGGCATCCTCGTGTCTCTGTGCCTCTCTGCGCCTTGCGTGGCACGGTCCAGCGGCACGAGGGATCCAGCCGTCCGCCCCTGCCTGCCCTCACCGGGCTCTCCCCAGGCCGTGGCTTGGGCAGCCACCGCACAAGGTGGGTGAGCGGGTTTCGTCAAGGCAGTGCAGACCCCATCTAGATCTGGAGGTCATGCTTTTGAGAAGCATTCTCATCGACAGTGACCAGTTCTTTCCCAAGTATGTTAAAAATGAACTGAATGCATATAAACCATTTCTTTTCCAAAAAACACATGCTTAGCAGTGTTTTAAGGGCATTTTTTGCAAGTAGCAACATGCCACAAATCACAGGAGAAAACTTCTCCGATTTGTTTTTTCTAGGCTCCTAGTCTTGACATGTTGTCACCATGTACCTGTTGGAGAGACAACTGAATTTTGCACATCCCATAACAGCATCTCAGCACGAAACGCTGAATCCTCTCACCACGCCCACTCTGGCATGCCCGTCTCCCCCCAGCTTGACGGGGTTCTGTAATTCCCCCTTACCCTGGCACACGCTGGCTGGCGACAGCCCCAGCCTCTCTTCTGCACCCATAGCAAGCTTTGTCAGCAGATGTCCATTTGCTTTCATAGAATGCTTTGGGTTGGAAGGGACCTTCAGAGGTCATCTAGCCCAACCCCCCTGCAGTGAGCAGGGACATCTTCAACCACACCAGAGCGCCGTCCAACCTGGACTTGAATGTTTCCAGGGTTGGGGCATCGACCACCTCTCTGGGCAACCTGTGCCAGAGTTTCACCACCCTCATGGTAAAAAATTTCTTCCTTATATCCAGTCTAAATCTCCTCTCTCTTAGTTTAAAGCCATTTCTCCTCATCCTATCGCAACAAGCCCTGCTGAAAATGTTTTCCCCATCTTTCCTACAGGCCCCTTCAGGCACTGGCAGCTGCTCTAAGGCCTGCCCTCAGCCTTCTCCAGGCTGAACAGCCTCAGCTCTCCCAGCCTTTCCTCATAGGAGAGGTGTTCCAGCCCTCGGATCTTTGCTGTGGCCTCCTCTGACCCCGCTCCAACAGCTCCATGACTTTCTTATGCCGAGGGCTCCAGAGCTGGACGCAGGACTCCTGGGGGGGGTCTCTCACCAGAACGGAGCAGAGGGGCAGAATTCCGTCCCTCGCCCTGCTGGCCATGCTTCTCTTTATGCAGCCCAGGATATGGTTGGCCGCCTGGGCTGCAAGCGCACATTGGTAGCTCATGTAAAGCTTTTCATCCACCAGTACCCCCAGGTCCTTGTCGGCAGGGCTGCTCTACATCCCCTCATCTCCCAGCCACGACCCAGATGCATGACCTTGTTGAACCTCATGAGGTTCACACGGGCCCATTTCTCAAGCTTGTCCAGGTCCCTCTGGATGGCATCCTGTCCTTCTGGTGTGTCAGCTGCACCACTCAGCTTGGTGTCATCTGCAAACTTGCTGAGGGTGCACTCGATCTCACTAAGTCATTGATGAAAATGTTAAACAGCACCGGTCCCTGTACGGACCCCTGAGGGACACCACTTGTCACCAGCATCCATTTGGACATCGAGCCTTTGACCACTACCCTCTGGCTGTGACCTGCCAACCAATTCCTTAGCAACCAAACAGTCCACCCATCAAATCCATATTTCTCCAATTCAGAGAAGGATGTTGTGAGGGACTGTGTCGAAGGCTTTAAAGAAGTCCACATAGATCACATCCATAGCTCTTCCCTTGTCCACTGATCTAGTCACGCCATCATAGAAAGCAACTACGTTGGTCAGGCAGGACTTGCCCTTGGTGAAGCCATGCTGGCTGTCTCCAATCACCTCCCTGTCGTCCATGTGCCTTAGCATAGCTTCTAGGAGGATCTTCTCCAGGATCTTCCCAAGCACAGAGGTGAGGCTGACAGGTCGGTAGTTCCCAGGGTCCTCCTTCCTACCCTTTTTAAAAACGGGCACAATGTTTCCCTTCTTCCAGTCACCAGGGACTTCACCTGACTGCCATGACCTTTCAAATATCATGGACAGTGGCTTGGCAATGACATCAGGCAATTCCCTCAGGACTCTGGGATGCATCTCGTCAGGTCCCATAGATTTATGTACGTTCAGTTTCCTCAGGTGGTCCCAAACCTGGTCTTCCGTTACAGTGGGAAGGGCTTTGCCCATCCGGTCCCTATCTTGTAGTCTGTCAACTAAAGAGGGCTGAAGTGAAGACTGAGGCAAAAATGTTGAGTACCTCAGCTACCTTCTAGCCTGTTGATATGAGGTTGCCATTCTTGTTCATCAGGGGGGTACACTTTCTTTAGCCTGCCTTTTCTGGCTGACATGCCTGTAGAAGCCCTTCTTGCTATTCTTAGCATCCCTCGCCAAGTTTAGATCCAGCTGCACCTTGGCCCTCCTGACCCCATCCCCACACAACCAGGCAGCATCCCTACACTCTTCCCAAGATACCCGTCCCTGCTTCCACTGCCTGTGCAGATCCCTCTTGCCCTTTAGTGTAACCAGCAGGTCTTGACTCAGCCATGCTGGTCTCTTCCCTTCCTTGCCTGACTCCTTATACCTGGGGACTGAGAGCTTCTGCGCTCTATAGGAAGTGTCTTTAAAGATCTGCCAGCTCTGTTCTGCTCCCCTGAGCCTGTGGACTGTTTCCCAGGGGGTCCTACTGACTAACTCCTTGAAGAGCTGGAAGTTGGCTTTCCTAAAATATAGGGTCCTGACTATATTCCTCGCCTTTTGCAATATCCTTCAGGAGCGTGAACTCCACTAACGTGCGATCACTGTGGCCCGGGCTGCCTCCAGTCTAGATGCCACCGATGAGTTCACATTGGTGAGCATCAGCTGCAGTATTGCATCCCCTTGGGTAGGGGTGTCAATTACTTGGCTTAAAAAGTTCTCCTCGATGCATTTTTGGAATCTCCTGGATTGCCCATCACTTGCCGTGCTACTTTTCCAACCGATGTCGGGGTGAAGTCCCCCAGCATGATGAGGCACTGCAAGCACAAAGCCTGTTGGAGGAAGAAGGCTTCAGCTTTCACATCCTTGGAGGAGAATTTACCCCTTTGTTTGCTCAGTGCAAATCCCAAGATAACGCCCAAAGCACGTGACAGAAGTGCACACAAATACAGTGTGCCTCCTGGCATTGCAAATGAAAAACAATCTTTGTCAACAGGCAATACCCAACTTTTCCCCTTTCTGGACCCTGCAGAAAATGTTCCCTAACCTATTTGTTTAGTTCCTCTGCTTTCTTCATAAGATTTTTGCATACAGGTGCAATACCAGCATATTAAGCATTTGCATTTTTCATTCATTTAGTAAGACAACCTCACAGCAACTAAATATGGGGTTTTACCTTTCTCCCTTCCACTGCCTGCAGCTTTTCTTTCATGGCAATCACCCTTCTCGTGGTCCCACGATTCTCTCTGCTGCAGCCACCCACGAACGGTCCACGCGTTGACGGCCATCTAGTGCCATGCTGCCCAGCTTCTAGGTGAGATTCCTCTGTGGGAGCACGACAGCAGCAATCAGCTCCTGCCCTCCTGCGCCTCTGCAGCTTGTATCAAGGACCCGACCACAGATCTTCCCTCTTCCCCGTTCCTCAACCCTGCCAAAGCTCAGCCTCTTCTCCAGCTCCGGGTGTTCCATTCTTCTTCCTGTTTTCTTTCCTGAGGTCAGTCCAGGCCTTCTTCTGCTCTCCTGATTCTCCATGTTGGGCTGAGGGACTTCTTTTGCCTTGTGGATTCCTACCCCTGATCAACAGAACGAAGCTCTGGGCCTCCCAGCTGTCTCAGACTGATCCCTCAGTGAGGACCCTGACAGTTCTCCACACCTCGGCACACCTCCAAGATCACAGGACCGGATTTCAGGCTCCAATAGGCCATTTCAACAGCCTTTTCTATACTTTCACTTTTTAATGACCACAGGCCACAACTATACTTGCCAACATATGCCATTTGCACACGAGCTCTACTCCTCCGAACAGCCTTCCACGGTTTTCTTCTTCTGGGTGGAAGCTGAGGCCATCACCCGCAGTCTGCTAGAAACCTCCACAGTGCTTCAGAATCAGACAGTGCCAGAAGCAAAAAATTAACCTTTTGA